GGAGTAAAGTGAGGTGTTAGCCCTCCATCGCACTCAAATTTATGAGCTGAGACAAAGGATAAGGCCTAGAACAATGCCATCAATAAATAAAGGTTCCTTGTTTTCCATCCTTTTTCTGGTTTTGCATTTCCAACGCTCAGGTTTCAGTAGGCAAATGATTACTGTTTGAAATCTGGACAGAACTGCACAAGCCCCAACTATCCACAACATCATCTTTCCCACAGTCGGACCTTGTCCACAGCTACAGAAGGCTCTGCACTGTGTATCTCTGCCTTAGAGGGCTCAGCACAAGCCATGCTCCCTGTCTTGGGTGTCCCCCCACTTTCAGGAATCCTAGCTCCTAGTCTCACTCTAACAACATTTTAGTTTATGTGCTCAGATCCAAATATGCATCAAATTCAAACGTGCCTCTCATCCAGAAGTTGAGAACACAAAACTGTGGTGAAGCAACAGGCTTCAGAGAACCTTCTGGGAACCCAGAATGTGTAATATAAATATGTACAATGTGGTCAACTTCAGTCCACTTGCTGATCTGGCCTAAATATAAAATGTGTCATTAGTCTCCTCGCATTTTCTTAAAATGCCTCACTAAGAGACTGAAGCCATGACTGGTGTAGAAGGGCTGGCCTGGCTCTGCTCTGTACCACACTCAGTACAGTGGTTAAGAAGCAGAAGTTTTTGAAATATGCAACAAGAAAGAATGAAACCACAATTCATCAGAAAAGACATAAAGCATACCAGCCTGGCATGCATAACTCTGTGTGTGTGTGTGTGTATATATATAGCTACACACACACACATTCAACCAATATCCAGAACAAGTTGAGAAAGTAAGAAGCAGTAAGGAAAGCAGCTATCATTTCATCAGTTTATGTGACCCTTCTTGAACAGCCTTTTTTCAGCCTTGTCTGAACAATCGAGCCAGCAATCTTTATCTAAACCCAGTGCACAATTAATTATTCACACATACTCTCCTTATTTAATGAAGGCAGAGAAAGCAGTGCCTGCAATCATCCTAAGTGCTGCTCACAATGGCCACTTTAACCCACGCTCAGTCACAACTTGATTAGCCCTTTTGATCACCCAGATAAGTGCATATCCCTGTTATGACAGAGAACTCCAGAAACATGGAGTCAGTATTGCTGTACTCCAGTGTATTCAATAACTTTTCATTTTAAGGGATAAGCAGAAACAAGACAAGAACTTGTCATTTAGGAAAATACAAGTGCTTATTACGAGAACAAAATGATTGCTCCGATGGACACATTATTATTCACATACCATAGTAAGATTCTGCCATGATAAGCTGTCCAAATTCATAGTAGTAATTCCTGTTATTTGATGTCCTGAAATGCAAATATACCCCTTAACAATATATTTTTAACAATGTATTTTTGAAAAATGATGGAGAATGGGAGAGGTGCCTGAAGACTGTCACTCCAGTCTTCAAAAAGGGCAAGAAGGAGGACTCAGGCAACTACAGACCAGTCAGCCTCGCCTCCATCCCTGGAAAGCTGATGGAGCAGCTCATTCTGAAGGCCATCTCTAACCAAACTGAAGAAAAGAAGCTTATCAGGAGTAGTCAGCATGCATCTGTCAAGGGCAAATCATACTTAACTAATCTGATATCCTTCTACGAAGGTGTGACCAAATGGGTGGATGAAGGGAGAGCAGTGGATGTCATATACCTTGACTTCAGTAAGGCTTTATATACTGTCTCTCAAAACATCCCTGTAGAAGAACTCAAGAAATGTGGGATAGATGACTGGACTGAGGTGGACAGTTAACTGGCTCAACAACATAGCTCAGAGGGTTGTGATCAACAGCACAGAGTCAAGTTGGAGGCCTGTGGCCAGTGGTGTTCCCCAAGGATCAGTACTGGGTCCAGTTTTGTTCAGTATCTTCAGCAATGACCTAGATGAGGGGATAGAGTGCGCCCTCAGCAAGTTCACTGATGATACAAAACTGATGAGGAGGAGTGGGGGTCATGGCTGACACACAGGAAGGCTGTGCCCTCATGGAATTCAGTAAGGACAAGTGTCGAGTCCTGCGTCTGGGAGATTAGGGGATGTCCTGCTGGAAAGCAGCCTCATGGAGAAAGACCTTGGAATCCTAGTGGACAGTAAGTTGTCCATGGGACAGCATATGTCTGAATTACTTTGTGAGCAGAAAAACTTAACGATTCTTGGAGACAGTGTGGATCTTTATTAGTGCAGAGCACATTTTGCTTAACTTCCCATTGCATCCCTTCACTGTGATACAGCCTTTGTGAAACGCAGCGGCTCGCATAAAGGCAGTATTTGCTGAAAAGATCTCTCTCCCAGTTTGCAGTCAAAAGTCTAAGTTTTATCACTGACTAAATTATATCATCGGCTTATTAGAGACTTTGAATAATTGAGAAAAAAAACCAAACTAATTCAGGAACCACAAAAGCTATATTCATTGTACTGCTTCAAATAGTTAGGGCTAAATCATAAGTTCCTGTACATTTGTTTACTTAAGCAACCAAACCAACATGCTAGCAAGAAATTACAGACACATATCCAGAAAAAAATCTGCCCAGCAACTGGCTACTACAACTCATGAGAGTGACTGAAAAGAAGCGACATGAGAGAAGGTAGGCTATAACCTGTGAATGTACACCAACAGGACAAGGACAGGAGCAAAAGCATGGCCTTTTGTGGATAGTGGGCGAGGAAAATTTTCCACTCTCAGGTACAAGCTCTAGCACATGATACCCCAGGAGAGAATACACATAAACTCACATGAAGTAGCACGATGATAGTGTGATTGCTTCTGGAGCACAACAGTGTTCCACGGCAAGGAAAGGAATCACAACCTAGTCCTTGAATTGTACTGTGTTAACAAATGGCTGGCAGAATTTTTATAGCTCGTTCAATTCACAGCCGTGGCTTACTGAAATTATTAATAGAAGAGCCCATAAGACAGTGATAAATCAGCACAATCTCCTGGATCTATCACCTATTCTTCAGTGAGTTAGTTGTGAAATAAAGTAACTGACACCTGATAATCTCATTGAAAACCTTATTTAATTCAGTCTCAGTAACAGCCATAAACCATTCTTGTTCAGAGTTTTTCCACTGAGATCCATATTAATTGTATAAGGAGATCAAGAACACTAAAAGAAACTAAAAACTTTAAATTCACTCCTGTCATTTAACCCTACTATAACACCTTATAGCTTAGAATCTTTTGTATTTTTTCATTTCTACTTCCCTTCTCATCTTTGCCACCTTGTGAAGACACTGTCCTGCAGCAAATTATATGATACTCTCTCTTTTCGCCATATTTAAATATGGCCATACTCAATATTTAAATAGCTGCTTGCTGATTTTCTTGGGTGGATCGCATACTCTCTTCCCCTTCGTCTGCATTATGTAACCTTAAAACCATGACCATTTCTGAAATAGAAGACAATCACAATATTGTTTCAAGAGCCCAAAAATTCAAGACCATTTGACTTACAATCATGTAGTTTTCCTCCTGCAAGACATAGAATTCCCATAAAGGGCTCTTCCAACAAACCCACAGTGATTTTTTTGATTAATATGGGCTTCTATACACCATATTTGCATCCTCCCACACGCTCTGGCTACTACAGGTTAGAATCACTAAATCGTTGAATCATTTAGGTTGTAAAAGTCCTTTAACATTGAGTCCAACCATCAAAGGTTGATGCCTTGCCTTACTAAACTTTCAGACATTTAAAAGTGAAACTGGTCCAGCCTAGAACAGATATTGCAATAGACATATGCAACAAGATGGTATCAAAGACTGACACTTCAAGCTAACCAGAGATAAAGAAATCTCACATTGTTAACTCGTGTGTAAAGCACTAACAGAGAGGTTCAAGAATTGTATTGAATTCAATAGAAATTGCAGCTAAATTTTGAGCAAATTATGAAAGCATCTTTATCTGCAACAGAGACTGAAAGAACAACTGGAATTCACAGAAAATGAAATATATCAGCCATAAATTCCACCTGCACCCCAATAAATAAAGAGAAAATATCAAAAAGTATAGTATCTGTGAAATGAAAAAAACCCCACATCCAATATGCAGAGATTATCTTCATTCCTACAGTTCATTATCCTACTGGCAATAGGATACGACAATGGAAAGTCTCATGAGAACAGCTTTGGACTGGATTAACTAGTATGATTTGCAGAATGGAAAGGAATTTCAGCTTTTCAGAAAACGAAACAAATAGCTGTATCATACAATTATTCTTGCAACGTGCTTGATGAATCATCTTGAAGTATCTTTAGATGAGAATGGTATGTCTACAGAAAAAGTTTCCAGAGGAAAAGCATGATATTAACACCATATACCTACATTAATAACATTCGAGACTCCGCTGTTTTATCATTTAACAGACCTAAGAAGTGCCAAATCCATTCTTTAAATGTAATAGTTATTTTCAAAACACAATCATACATTTCTTTTCCAAAATTCACAGATGAACTGGCATATAAGCATGCCAGACAATCAAACTGCTGGATTGACCTACCAGTCCTAGCTTTCTAGTTTATCAATAGAAGTATTTTTTATACCCATAACTTTGTGCTCTTACACAGATCAAATTCAGTGGTGTGAACACCCTATGTTAAAGTGATACTAACCCATTACTTCCGATTTAACAAGTTGTTGTTTAAATTGTTGCATTCTGCAGGAAGAGAGTTCACATTTTAGAACTCTAGTCTAGGAAATGACATTACAAAGAAATGCTTGTTGCTAGCCTACGAAGGGTTATGTCTGTTCTGCAGTAGTGTCAGTTCACAACAAGCATAAAATAACCTAAAAATATGTACACCGTATCTGTAATATAGCCTTTTCCACAGACTGTATGATACAATAAAATTCACACTCATGACAGGGTTCTGTACTTTGCTTTTGCAAAAAATATTCCTTTCAATCTTTTAAAGAACATGTTGAAAAATATGTTAAACTCTAATTTACACTAATTATAGGTAAAATTCTAATATACACTAAAATAGACTTTGAGAAAGACATTTTTAAAACAAAAGATAAATGTCTGGTTACTTACATTGTTGAGGTACTCAGAAAGCAAGTCTTGGAGAGCTTGGCGGATAGCATTGCATTCAGCAATGATGCGTTCCCGATGAAAATCACGCGTGCAGGAAGAATCAGCCAGCAAAGCTGCTCCACTGATAATAGCTTCCAGACGTTTCTCCAGTGATGGCCTTATTTGTTCTTCATTCACTACAAGAGGATCCATGATAATTAAATTCTGGAAAACATTAGGAGTACAGGTAAGAAAAGTCAGCCCAACTAAGTCACTGTTTTATTTTTAACTTGCATGAACTACATGAACTACAGTGACTTTATGCTTCCCAGACTTGCAACTAGTCCTTTTCCCTTGAAGGATCTAAAATACTTCTGACCATGGCAGAGTCCATTTTCCCTGCAGGTCATTTGCAGACAAAGCCAAGTTTTCTCTGCCAGTCAGATCTCACATTCTAAGAATGGCAAGGGAAGGCATTCTAAGACACAGCCAGCTTCCAGAGGTCAGGACATCCAGTTCTGCTGTGTAAGAGACGTTTTCTTTGTGTTAGAGATCTCACTCGCGTGACAGTCCATAACACCAAAGTGTTTGTGGGACCTCACCCCTGCGGGAGTTGTGCCACTTGGTCACTAGTCACTGGAGCAGCAACACAACCACTGCGCTCCTACATCTCAGGTGAGCAACCTCAACACTAGGCTATACATACCATGTCCATTATAATGCAAACCACACCTGCCAAATAGAAAATCTCAGTGTTACTACAGAAAGAAACGGCTTCATTGCTTGTGGAAGCCCAAGGCACACCTGGAGGCTACATCCCATGCGCCATTTACTTATCAAAGTGACCACCTTCAAATCTCAGATGAAATAGGAGTAGAAACGTCCTCCTTCAGAAGTTTGTAGAAAGTTCACGCAAAGATGGACAAATAGCACTGGCAAAAAAGCTCCTACAGTTCATATCTAAATAAAAAAAACCTCAGTAATAACCAGGAAAACATGACTTAAGATCTGCTCACAGATTAAATTCTTCAAGTGATTTCATCAAATATTTATGTTCAATACATCTTCACAGAAAGGACAATCCAATTTCCAAGCAAACAGAAGACACCAGATACTCAACAAGTGATTTTGCTTTACCAGGCCTAAACAATGGTTACCTACCTGAGTTCCTAGCCTAAGTGAGTATTTAAAAGGAGTTATTAGATCCCTCTTCTCTCCCTTGTTGGTCTTCTGATCAGTGAAAAAGAGGGAACATGGGTATCCAGAATCCCAGTTATATTTCCTGACATTTTGGACTGATTTGCAATATTTTGACATCTCCTATGTTAATGAGCCATGGTCATTATGACCCACATATTGAAAAGATACAGTGACAGAGAGCCAGGCATCATTTGGGGAGGGATCTCTTTACATTCAGAAGATGCAAGATGAGTGAAAGGCGTTAGATAACCTGCACCTCCACGCTCTTATAACACAGATCTTAACACATAATTAAATTTGTAACCTTACAATTTTGTGTTTGTATGAATGATGTCATAGTTAAAAGGAGCCTTTAAGAGGAATTCTTCAGATTCTACTGATTTAAGAGTTAGCTGCTCTAATTTTCCTGGTGGTTTCCTCACCTATAAATCTGTAATAGCTTTCACACTGCCAGCACTGGCAAAGGAAGAATGACATTGCAAAACATCTAGATACTAGATTGTTGAGTAAGCTCCGTGATACATTTCCACACTATAAACATTTAATGAGATTTGTTCCCAACAGACTATTTACTACATCAATCTATTTCATGGAACTGTATTTGCAACAAGAAGATAGAGCAAAGGTTATTTTAGGTCCTTAGCCAATAGAACTTTCTGTAAAGAAAGAAAACTTCAACAATCATTTGAAGAAGTTAGATAAAGCATAATTTATAGAGCATTTAACTCACACAGTTTCAGTTCCCGTTTGTGTTACCTAGGTAAAAATGTATTTAATACTCCATAAACAAATGGCTTTTTGCATCAGTCAGACTTCTATGTTCTTTTCTTTCTGAATAAAAACAGGTTAAATCCAAAAGAAAATTTTCCTCATTTGTGATTATTGCAAATATTAATTTAAAAAAAATAATGAATGTAATTACATTTAAAAAACACAAAAACTAAAATGGCACTGCTCACATACACTCAAGATGAATTCATCTGCAGTCAGAAAATGTAATCCTTTTGCCAAATTTCTTTTAAAGATTTTGTAAGAAAAACAAGTAAATAACAGCTCTCACTTAAAGTACATAATTTGTCATTCAGAGTGTCATTGTAACAAAACATGTATGACTTTTATATGTTTCTTTTTTCTTCCATTTATTAAGAACAGAGATTAGAACCTATAATTTTAAAACTTAGTGTGCAAAGCAATGAAGGACAACATGTAACATGCAATTGTAGCCTGTTTCTTTGGGGGGAAAAACCTGTCAGAGTCAACTTGGAGCATGACTGAGAGGTCTGTTTTTATCAATAAGCTTCCTCTACAAGATTTCTGACATATTTTAATGTATTTCTCCAACCTTTCATTGAAATTTTTAGACAAAAATCTATTTCCATCAGTCATAATACCAATTCTCCTGAAAATGCATCAACAATATTGGAGTTCCGAGGCTGAGATCTAGTAAGTCTGAGAAGTTAAAGCAAAAAGACCCATATTTGCAAACGCATTTAGAAACTTTCATTCCTTTTATCAGTTGGGGTCCACATCAGCTTACACCAGATGAGAAGCACGGTCTGCAGTCTCAGCCACATGAGGTCTTTTAGCATTTTTGGCAGGACAATGCAAGATAACACTAGTAGGAGCCAGAACACCTGTAAGAAAAAGGGAAAGCTCCATACAAAAGCTTAGGATCAAGGCAGGAATGGAAAAAGAACTGACTTTCTTCAAGTATTTGCTTAAATAATGGAAGCAGAAATGCACACTTGGTGAAAGCATACTGGTTGTGTCACTTTAATGAAAAGCAGAAAACATGATTAAGTTTCCAATTCCTTCAATTATAAATTACATAAATATGTCAATGACAAGTTTTGGAGTAAAAGGCTTCCAACTTGCATTGTACTAATTCAAATGAAGTCAAGGCAGAAGTGATCATCATCTCATCATCACTGCTATCTGTAAACTAATCTCATGGGTTCTGTCCACTTGTTCACAGATGTGTCTGTCTCCATCATTAGTGACACACTTGGAACTAATCCTTCCCTGCTGGAAACCAAATATTGAACGTATATGAAGACTTAATTCCAGACTCTTCTGAAGGAAGTGATCCCTCCCATTGAAACAATTAAGAACGATACTATTTAGATCAGGACTAAGAGCTTCAATTTCTAACACCTCTAGGTCCATCATTTATGATAGTGATAGTTAATTTAAAAAAAATATTAAATAAACTATTTTTCAAAAAATGTTGCAGTCTCACAGGCTTACATACCTCAAGCTCATCAAGGGCACTTCCCAGCGCAGCTTGGTGAGATGTAGATCGTCCCATTTTATTTCCAACTCCTTGGGACGCGTTAGAAATTACATCGAGAGCATTCTGTATTTCATTGCAAATTGAATCCTTGCTAGCTGTAAGGGATGCAACATCTGAATGTTCCAAACAAGCCGAACATATTGAATGTAGCAGAGAGGAATTTTCCTTCAGGGAGGCACGTGCTGCGGCAATTTCATCTCGCTGATTGCTAGATTTCAAATCCTGTCAGCAAAAGAACATGCTGTTTATTTCCAAAAGCACTTAAAAGCTTCAAAACTGACAAGTAACGTATAAACTATTTTTTTTCCATCTTTATTCTGTTTAAGGAAACATTGAGTAAAATTCATCAAAGACTGTGAAAATGGACTACAACAGTACTTACAATTGAACCATCTTTATCTCACGAGAAATGAACAAAGTTGTGTAAAACAAAGACAATTTTTATTGTGTCTTATAAGCAGCACTGTGAACCGTCCACATTTTGCTTGGTTTTAAGCACAGTTTTCCTACGAGAAAACCGGCCTGGAAATTATCTGTCTTTCCTCCCAAACACAGCTGTCTTCATAAGCAAGAGGTGCAGACAGGGCCAAGCAAGGAATTCTGCGAGGGTTACATTTAAATGTCCTGTGTTTGCTTTCCTGCCCATCAGCACACCTCCCGAGCACACTGCAGAAAGGAAGAGCAGGTCGGGGATGAGAATTCTGTACTCCTGGGAAATGGAAAGCGTGCAAGGTGTGGAAATGAAAAAGGTGCTTGGGAGAAGCCATCTCTGTGGAATGCCACTGCCTGTTTTTCCTCTCTCCTTGCTATGAACATGCTTAAAGCACTCTTAGCACACTCACCTTGTTCCTCCCTTCTCCACCTAGATCTTCTTGAGACCCTACTGCCTCCTGCCAGCTCGAACAAGGAACACACAGCTCACAGAGCTGCCAAGGCAGATTTAACTGTTTCTAGGAATCAAGCCTAGGAACTGTTAGTTGGAGAGCTGGAAGTTATGGACTTTGGGACAACCATATAGTCAATGTCAGGATTGCAAGGAGCCTTCCTGTCTCATGCTATTTTACTCTAGATGTTCTCCCCACTCTCTTCCTGCATCTTGTCTCTTTGCAAAAAAGAATCTAGCAGATATTTGCAAATTGGCTTGGGTGAAGGAGACAGTTAAATTCAGGGGAAAAATAAAAAAACGACGGGAAAATAGCATATCAGAACAATAAAAGCCTGTGGCACCAGCTTCAAATGATGAGAAGAGGCACAACAAAGAATGAACAACAAAATGCATACAAAACTACTCACAGCCTGCTGTAAAGCAAGCTGAAGTCTTCCTAATTATTTTCTTTTGCATTACATCAGGATCTGTGCATACTATCTAAAAAAACATCACGGTATCCATTTCTCACCACATAAAGTTCAAAAGTTTACATCTGAAAAAGAAGGTATTCGATATTAAATGATCCAATCATATGTTTTTAACATCTCATTTATGAGATAAGCACTGGAAACAGCACTGCGTTTTAGCTCCTCAGGCTAACTTGGAAATCTCAGGGATACACTGAAAACAAACAAGCCAAACCAAACAGGGAATGGGAGAGGGAAAAGCAGAGTGGAACCTTAACGGAAGCAGACAACAGTTTAACCAGCTATTCTTGGGTATATTAATATTTCATATATTTTTACCACTCTTCAGCTGTGTTGTTCTTCCAAGGTCACATGACTTTCACACAGGTCTTAAAGCTCCCGAGGGCCCTGAGAGCACTGCCAGGCCTCGCAGACCCTGCCCGGCCTCCGCTGGGCACACAGTACGTGCTCGAGTGTCAGGAATCCCAAGCTACCTTCCTACTAAAAGTCTTAACCAGCCTCTAGATTTATTTTTCCTGGTTTTGAAAGTTATCAGCAGTTCTTGGTGTCTCATGCTAAACTATACTACAGCACATATACAGAGTACACAAACACCATATGCATATACACACACAAAATACACACAGAAAACATATGCACTTTCAGTCAACTTAGAGCAAGCAGGAAT